TCAGAGAATAAGTAACGCCAGTGCTTCCCCTTTCCTAGACCACTGTCAGTGGAAATATCCAAACCTGTACTGGCTCTGGGAAGATGTAACCTTAAGAGAAACCAGATGTTTGTGAAGAAAGCACAAGTGAATGCTGAATGCTCTTTAAGATTTTGATGCGCCTGAGAAATTAAAATTGCTCACTCTAGCAGAGTTTTGATGAGCAGGGAGCAGCTGAAGGCCACGTTGTTTCATATGCGGAACATTACGTGCACTTGATTTTGGCAGCTTTACTGTTTTTGTGAGATCTTAGAGAAATTAAAAGCTGTAAAAGTCAGACTCTGCAGCTTTTCAGAAAGAACAGGAACCTGTTTTGTAACAGGAAAAGGATTCTCTACAGTGGAGGCAAAATTTACATCAAGTTGCTTAGATTATATTCATCCCACAGTATCTCTCTCCACATTAGGAATGAGTCATCTAACGATTAATGAAAAGGTTATTACAGTGAAATGATGTATTGTGTCCTGAGAGGATAACAGTAAGGTACAGCCATACTGCCATTCTACCAACAAAATCTGAAATTCAAATGCATGATGAGAACATGTGCTTTTACTGGGTTGTGCCTGTACTTTTGGTCACTGAGTGCTTCTCAGTGCCCACTTAAATTAACCACTGGATGCCAACAATGTTCTTAAATTCATACAGTAGTAGAACATGTGCTTTTACATGAACATGTTTTTGGTAGTAGAGCAATTCCTTCTTAACTCCCATACAAATTAATCAGTGGACACCTGCAGTACTCTTACATTCATAAAGTAAAGTAGATTTGGCTAAGGAATTTGGAGCTATTACACTGTTTTCAGTCTGCCACAGAAGTTGCAAACTGTTTGGCAATGAAACGTGGCATGAAACTATGCTTAAGTATCCTCTATCTTGGTCTGAAGTGTCCAACAAGGTGAAGGCCATTGCTCCGGCTTTGCATTGTTTGATTCAATGCAATGATCTTCTGTCAGCTCAGACTGATGTTTACCATCTGTTGATTCTTGGTCTTTGCAGGCTGAAGGTGGCATTTGCACAGCAGACATGACATCTCTTGTGTAGGCATTTATTTCTCCTTCAGCAACAGAGTCTTGTTGGCTTGGATTATAGGATCTTTCAGATAAGCCAATATAGTCATGGTCAACAACTACTGCACCTTGTAAAAAGTAATGGTTGTCTGTAAAAGAAGAGTAGCCATTAAATCAGATCCTTCTAGTTTACTGAAAGCCATACTTAAAATGTTAGTGAGCTGGTAACTTACTTTTCAAAACAATTTCCATAAGAGAACAAGAATGTTTGAGTGACAGCAGTCTGATAATGTGAATTTCCTAATTTCACTAAGCATCAAATGTTTGGCTGTATCTCATTACATCCACAAAATAATGCTTGCAGTGCTCCACATTAAGAGTTTTTCTTTGCTAGGTCAATGCCTAGCTTGACGTCTGTCATAGTCACCTACTGAACTAATACCTTAAATGAACGAACACGCAGATTCTTCCATTTTGTGCACACACACAGAGAAATGTGGCTACTCCAAGCTCTTGCTGGGAAGTTTAAAGCAACACAACAGTTTTTTTTAAGAAAAAAAAAAAAAAAGAAATAAAACAGTTTTATAGAATTTAAAGACAAGAATGGCGATTGCTACTGTATAGTACTATTGAGTTTTTCTTCCATCTGATATATGATTACAGTGTTTGACTTTTCCAGATGAGTTCAAGTAAAAGGAAAACAGTCTGACCACACAAGTTAGAAGTGTAACTGTCAACATGGGGTTAATACTTCTGTTCTGGAAGATGAAGCTAGGGCCTACCTTCTTGCTCACATGAAGATCCTAGTGTGAAATTACGTGTTCTGTCAAATCAGAAGAGCCATTCAACAGATAAGTATGTCTATATAGGGGGCTACAAATTCTTCTGCGAGATGTAGGTGCAAAGAGGGACCTTTATGGGAGCTACTGTGGAGGTGAAACTGCTCCTTTCTCGCCATGTTTCTCAACAGATATGTCCTAAATCTGCCTATTTGCACGCCTGAATCATTTGAGCACTGGACCCAGAGACATTACTAGAAAGCTCCCTGATCTGGTGTGGCCTTCGGACTACCACCCGCTGTTGGTTGTACAGGCTGGCAGCGATGAGGTGGCAGAGAGAAGTCCTGAGGCGATCAAAAGGGACTTCAGGGCACTGGGGAGAGTGGTTGAAGGATCGGGAGCACAGGTAGTGTTTTCCTCAATGCCTACAGTGGCAGGGAAGGACACTGGAAGGAACAGGAAAACACTCCTGATCAACACGTGGCTCAGGGGCTGGTGCCGTCGGAGGAATTTTGGCTTTCTTGATCATGGGGAGGTTTACACGGCACCAGGCCTGCTGGCGACAGATGGAGTCCAGCTGTCTC